AACTAGTTAGATTTGAAAAATATCATATGTTTATCATAAAAACAATCTAAACGTTCATAAAAACAGCAATACATAACACTTGTAGTAGATTACTCTTACCATTACTAACAGAAAACAAAATTATGGCATAACTAATTCATACAGAAATCAAAAGTTTCAGAGATCGAACCTTATATGTGAGCTTCACTTCCTTTAACTTTTCTTTCCCTCTCCTGAATAAGCTTTTCCCTTTCTTAAATTAGCTTATCCCCAAACTTTCCCTACACAAGAAAATAAATATGAGTAGAGGGTTGTAACTAAATTAGTACTTTTACCTATATTATGTCCATATATATATATATATAGAATTACCCATGTTCTGGAATCCCCAAACCAAAGAACTATAAACCAGACCACCATAAATAAATAAGAACCCCTTTTTTTCTTAGTTTTGTAAACATGGTTAAGACTTCGTTGGGAGGAGCTCACTATTCAGATTATAATTATATAGACACAAGTTACCAGATTAGTGGTGCACACTCGATCTATTTTGAATTGCTTCCTCTTAATATGCTAAAACACTCATTCAAACAAGCACATTCTCAGAAACTATAACAGATGATAGACTCGCAAATGAGTTTTAAGTACATTGCAGTAGCTTTTCCTTTGGACAAAGCACAAATACATGGTAGATTCTGAATATAACCTGAACTCAACAAAAAAAAAACATATGGGCAGCAGAAAGGAAACAGCAATGTACAGGAACAGGGTTTTTCCCGCCTCCCGGGTTGCCGTGATCAAGTATCCTAAAAGGCTAACACAAACGAGAATCCTAAAATGCAGCCGAGTGATTCAACGAAAAAAAAAATGCAGCCGAGTGAGTGAGTGATCTCTTTCACTAACCTTTCGCAAAAGAAGCCCTTGCTATTTCCTTCCTTCAGGGTCCTTTCAGATCTTAAACCTACACGGCACAATTAGATTAACCTTTAATTCATGAAAGTCCCAAATAAATCCAAAAATTGCCGATTGGCCTTATTCATGAAAACCACCAACATAAATCCTAAAGTTGCCGTTTCACCTCATTCATGAAAGTTAATGAAACATTAGCGTAGAAGCATATGAAACCTAAATCCTAAACCACCAACAAAATACGAAACCACCAGTAGGAAATTAGAGACAGGAAGAAGCATATGAAACAGCGTTCACCTCTATTCAGATACGGATTCTAATTGTAGTTGTTGCTCGTTCTATGACTCGCTGAAAGAATAACAGAGGGAAGATAAATCAATGCCAAAGAATGAGTATAGACGATTTAGAGAAGAAATATGTGTTCAAAACACAGAGAAAGATGAGTCGACCTATGTGACGGAAGCATTAGCGTAGAAGCATTCTCTAGCATTCGTCAAGTGGGCGCATTGTCGATCTAATCTGAGAGAAGGCTGGGGAAAATAGAAGGAAGTAAAGTTGATGGAGGATTCCGGCGTCGGGTGGTAGATTCCGGCGTTAGATGGTGGCCAAGAGATCTGTCAAGGGAGGAACAGGGTTGGAGTCGTGGAGATTGATTTAGGTCTGCAAATTGGGGAAAGTGAATATGGGGAGAGAATGCAATTGCATTCTCCTTTAGTTCTCTAAAGCAACAAAAACGGCAGCATTTTGCCTTGTCGAAAGGAAATAATTTCCAGCTCTACATTTTATATTTTCTTTAATTATATAATTACAAATGGCGACTAATGAAATGGTCGTGGGATGTAAGCATGCAGCGACCAATCAATAAATAGTCGCCTACACTCGAAAAAATGGCGCGGTTTTCTTTTTGCCATCCCGCCTTTCTCTAGCTAACCCCGCCAAACTGAATTATATTTTTAATATTTCAAATTTGGGGCCATTCACGACCATTGTTACATTAATAGTCGCCAAATATTGACTTATCATCGACCATTAGCAGTTGGTCGCATATGATTTTCGTTTGTTGCGACCATATAACTACATGGTCGTTGAAATAAAGCTTTACCGACCATTGATGTGGTCGTCATACAGCTCTATTTCCCGACGATTTATTGAGTCGGAAATATTGAACAAATGGTCGCAAAAATTCTTACATTTTCACAAACAAAGTGACTGAACTATCACGACTAGAATTTACTAATGGTCGTAAAAAACATGACTTTCGGCGACCTTTTCTTTGTGGTCGCTCGAAAAATGGTCGCTGAATACTAACTTTCTTGTAGTGTGTGGAGGAGCCATTCAAGAACTACTTCTCTCCGGGAGGGACTGTAGGAATGATATGGAATGCGTTGATGGAGCTTACGAGAAGCTTCACGATAGCCATCGATCACGGCGAAGACTACAGTGAAGGATGGCTGCTCACCGGCGTCCGGCTGGTCGGGTTGCTGATTCCGGGGTTGCCGGCCCATTTGCCACGGGATTATGTGAATTGTACCCGCTTGGGACCGCCGCACTTGCTTCATTCATCATGATCATATGATGGAACTTCCACCTCTATACGTACCTCGTTCTACTTGTGTGATCGATCGATATCTGGACGAATTTGGAAAAGTAACGGTTTGTGGTTGGATTGTTTTGGTTTTTTTTTTTAGAATCCGTGTTATAATAAGGCAAGTCCAAGGGGCAATAATCGTTGTGGTGGGTACGTTAATAAATAATATAAGATTTATATTTGAATTTTTTTCAATTAATAATTTAAATTATTGAGAATAAATGATTGTGTATAGTAATATGAGAATTTTTGATGGATGACTGAGATATGTGTGTTCGAACATTGTTTATTTTTAAAAAGTAAAATTGTTCGTTTGATTTCGTTCAAGTGGCCGTCATTGTTCCCAAGTTCATTAGATGCTACAACTTGAGAGTTTTGGGTGTCACTATCTCTCCACTATGGGTAGTTCTAAACTGTAAAGTTTCTTCATCTCCAATCAAATTTCACCAATTACTGTATACTCATCACTGGCCCAAGTCAATGCATTTGCATATTTTGTTATTATGTCAACTTGAAAGGTTGAGCCTCTGTAGTTTTCATGTGGATGATTAGTAGTATAGTTACAAACATTATAGTTGTTGTCACTATTGTTGTTCATTATTAAATTAATATTGAATGGTAATTTAAAGTGGAGGCAAAATGTATAGGTTTTTTTTGCCATTAGATCTTCTCTGAAAAAGAGAGAGGAACAAAGATCTACAGATTTTAAAGAAAACCTGTCTACAAAACAAACAAAAAACAAAGTCTTACTCGAGAGAATTCGGAGTGACAAGATCAGAGCCAAAACGACCACCAAATGAGCACTCTGAAACCATTACACTCAACCAAACCAAAAGGATCCCTCCCTACTAGGCAGGCTGCCACCAAGCCAAGACACAGAACAGCTGCCGCCGTCCAAATCCAAAACAAACAGAACCACCATCTCGTCCTCCATAGATGTAGCCAAATCAAAGAAACCCTGCATACGTCCTCCATGGATGTAGCCAAATCAAAGAAACCCTGTATAGGAGTTAGGGGTGGGCATCCGGTTCGGCAAACCCGAACCGGACCGGACCGAACCGAAGTTACACCGAATCGAAACCGAACTTTTGTTGTTCGGTTCGAAATTCGGAAGGGAAAATAATGTATTTCGGAAACCAGGGTCTACCGACCGAACCCGAAATCCGAACCGAAAAACCGAATTAACCTAATCAACTCAAATAAGTCTACCCTCTCCCATAGCCCAACTGATTACCCACCCTCTCCCAAAGCCCAACTGGCAGCCCACTCTCTCCCACAAGGGCTACAGCCCAACGAACTCCACTCCACAAGCCCAAACATTATTCAAGACTCAACCCATTCCTACCAAAACCCTAAGCCTAGCTCATCTTTTGGCAATCGCCGCCTCCCACCCCTATCCTCATCTCGCAACAGTCAGCTCCTCTCATGGCCACCGCCCCAAATCCCTCCTCTCCCGTCTGCTGCTCCACCCCATCCTCTGATTAGTTCACTTCCCCACCGGCCACCACCACGATGACGATGACCTCAAACTCCCAATCGAAACCCTCGCCCTCCACGGATTCTACGGCAAATCCATGAATCTCGTCTCCGCCATCAAATCCGGGTTCACTACCTCCTTCCGTCTCTTCGTCACCCACATCATCATCGGCGTCAGGATGAAGGGGTCCGGCAGAAGCTCGGCGGTACTGGGGCAGCTAGGCTTCATGGCGGCGACGGTGGAAGGGAGACCAGATCGGGCCATCGGAGTTGCTTTTGCTGCCGATGTTTGATTTCAGATGGGCGATAACTACATGCAAACAACGGGAGTGAAAGGGACGCCATGGGAGAGGTCAACCGACGACGAAGGAGCGGAGCACGACCTCAACGGCGGAGGGAACTCAACTCAACCAGAGGAAAAGAAGGGACTCGCCGGGAGTGAAAAGGCCGCCATGTGAGAAGAAGGGACTCGCCGGAGGAGCGGATCTCTAATGTTGCGGCTGGACAGGGAAGAAGAAAGAGCACAACGGGACGCTGAATGGAGAGGAAGGGACTCGCGGTGGCTGCCGTCGGCGACGGATGGAGCCCGATCTCTGTTTTTGATGTTGCGACAGAGAGGAAGAAATAAGAGGAAGTGGGAGAGGTCTGAGGAGGAAGAGGAAAAAGTAGGTTTTGTGTGGGTGTCTTTTGTCAGCGAAGAGGAAATTGAGAGTGGGAATGGGAGAAGATCGGAATTCCGGTTTTCCATTCCGAACCGAGTAATATTTCGGTTCGGAATCGGTTTGGCCTTTGCTGGGAATCGGAATAACGGTATGCATCTTTTCGGTTCGGTTCAAACCGAATCGACCGAATGCCCACCCCTAATAGGAGTGGAAGACGTTGCATCCCCTCAAGCTGAAACCCTGCAAATGTTGGACAAATGGGCTATGAGCCTTTTAAAAACTGCACCGTAGTGTTAAAACAAATGTGGGCCGGAAATTATGGATCCGAAATGAGAAGATGTGGCACGTGTCCCAGACTCCCAGCCGGAGCAAGTGGCTAAAGGTAAATGGATGTAGAAAATCGGGAGGATGTTAGAGAGAGAGAGACAAGAGGCGGGAGCGCAAGGGAGGAGAGGGGAGATCGGAATTTAGGGTTTTGAAATTCGCCGGGAAATTTTGGAAGGTTAGTGAGCGCGCGACTGATCATCCATTGCAGTGGCTTCTCAAGCTTTAAATTTTCTTGTTTTTGCATTCGTGAGCTACTGCTTTTGTGTAGAGGAAAACAAAAACCAAAGGGGGAAAAATGCCAGCGGAATTGGTGAGTTTGATTTGGTATTTGATGATGTCTGTTTGTGAGAAAGAGGTGTGCTTGTCATGTGCAGGGAGCGGCGAGGAAGAAGAAGAAGAGTGGTGTGTGAGAGATTCTAGAGAGAGAGAGAGTGTTTGTTGTGATTCTACGAGAGTCGAGAGCGATACCAATTACCTCCATTAGCACCAATCCTTCGAGTGTGATAGAGTGTATTTTTGCCATCCTAAGCTTCCAATTCTTCGTAATTTCCTGATGGAGCGAAAGCTTGTGGTCAGTACTTCTACCCCTTCCGATTGCGATCGGTTTGCTGCTTGAATGATTGTGGGTTTCCAGGTTGGTTGCATTGATTCTGTGGGCTCTGTGTGCAGGTTCTGGGTATTCCGTGGGAAGTGGATACCGATGGTTTGAGGGACTATATGAGCAAGTTCGGGGATTTGGAGGACTGCATTGTCATGAAGGTTTCAACTTTTGGTCTCGTATTTGACTTGCTTCTGAAATGTTGTCCTTAATTATGCCAGCAAGATCGTGTTGTAGACGCAGGGCATATTGTTGCCTTTGTGGATCGTTATTAAACTGCTATAGATCAGCTGGTTGTGTTTTATTAGGCGGCTGAAATTTGTTTCTGGTTTGTGACAAAGTTTAAGCTTCACTTTCCTTGCGTGTGAATAAGGAGTAACGAGACTTTTGATTGTCTTTCTCACTGCTCTTTTGATGCTTTAGGAGCGGGCTTCGGGTCGATCTCGTGGTTTTGGCTATGTCACCTTTGCATCGATGGAAGATGCCAAGGTAATAAGAAAATTTTGAATTACTAGAATCTATATATTGTCTTCGGGTTAGTCTTCTCAGTGTAGCACGGGTGCTGGTTCATGTCTCTTCTTATACTGACCTGTTCCGGCTTTTACTGTCTGGTAGAACGCATTAGAGAGTGAACACTACATGGGGAAAAGAATGTTGGAAGTTAAAGTGGCAACACCAAAGGTTGTGATCTGGAGACATTTACGCTTATGCCAAAGCAGATGTTCATGTACCAGTTGTATACTCAGATGTGCTCAGGCCTACTGTATTACCTTATTGCAGGAGGAGATGAGAGCCCCTTCCAAGAAGGCAACGAGAATTTTTGTTGCTCGGATCCCACCATCTGCAACAGAAGGAGCTTTCCGTAGGTAATTTCACTGGACGGTGACAAGCTGTGAACTGTTGCTTTATGTATCCCTCACCGGTGTTGATTTAGGTGTTGAGTGGATATGGGGACAAAGTTGATGTATTTAAGTCTTGTTTTGCAGTCATTTTGAGAGATATGGTGACATAATAGACTTGTACATGCCAAAGGTGAGCTTCTCTGCTCACCTGAAAGAGTAGCAAACGCAAAGGAAGCTTTAGAGAATTCTGTTTCAGTTTCCTATCTTTGTTTGAATATACCAGCTGTTACAATTCGTTGTGTACTGAAGGGTGTTGCTCTGCTGTAAAACTGATTTTCCCTCCCGGCAGGATCACAGTTCAAAAACCCATCGTGGAATTGGGTTTATCACATTTGCTAGCTCAGGTTTGTTTCAGCTGTAATTCATGCCTTTTTATTGTGGGTACAAACCTTGTTAAGCATCCTATGTGTATTCTCAAGCTCCCTTTCCTGTTGCAGAATCCGTGGATAGTTTGATGGCGGACACACATGAATTGGGTGGTTCCACAATTGTTGTTGACCGAGCAACACCTAAGGTAACTTCTGGCAGTAGATCTGAGCTTTCTTTTTCAAATAAAGAACACTTGTTCCCCCTTCTTTGGGAAGGTTTTCCAAGATTCTACTTTGTTTGAGTTATTTTGGAGGCTTTAAACTTCAGTTGTGAATTTGGGTAATTTATGTATCTGCGCTGCCTCAGGAAGATGATTTCAGGCCGGCAGGAAGAGTGCCAGCAGCAGCGCATGGTGGCTACGGTGCATATAATGCTTATATTTCTGCTGCAACTAGATATGCAGCCCTTGGTGCTCCTACCTTGTATGACCATCCAGGCCCGCTCTATGGAAGTAAGTATTGCATCAAATGGTACCATACAGATTCGCTGAGCCAAGCAACTTATAGATGATTTTCGCTTTCTCTAATCCTCATTGGACCAGGAGCGGAACCACCATCTAGGGGAGTTGGGAAAAAGATATTTGTTGGAAGGCTTCCTCAAGAGGCAACTGCTGAAGATCTGCGTCTATATTTTGGCAGATTTGGCCATATAATGGATGTTTACGTCCCAAAGGTAAGGCTGCAGAAAACACCTTTATCTGCAAATAAGAATGGTAAGGACCAGCAACTTAGAATGTCTCTTGTGTGCACAGGACCCTAAGAGAAGCGGTCATAGAGGTTTCGGGTTTGTCACCTTTTCTGAAGACGGTGTGGCAGATCGTGTATCTCGAAGGTCTCATGAGATTTGTGGGCATCAGGTACTACATACTTTCCCTTTACTTTACCTTCATGTAATTCTGGGTGCAAACCGAACAGAATTTTGGTATCATTTTGCATATGGATTGACCTTATTCAATTAATCTATCACCATTAATTTCACCGTATGTGTTTGGTTTGGATGGAGAAGTTAGCTACCGGATTGTCTGTTGGCTATTTTATCTCATTTGTAAATGGAACTTTCTTTCAGTTCTGTACTCCCCTTGATTCCCTCGTACTAATAATGAATATGAAACAATTCAAGCCCTTATGAAGAGCACGAGCGGGAATTATTACCAACTATGCAACTTTTTTTTGTGTCGACTCCTTGTGCAGGTCGCTATTGATTCTGCCAGTCCACTTGATGATGCCGGTCCCAGTACAAGCTATGTGATGCCTGGAGCTGAAGTTCTGGGTGGTTATGGTGGTCCTATGCGCAGCTTTGGTAGAATGTATGGAAACCTGAGCTTTGAAGACATGGGAGTACGTGTCGTATCACTCCTGATGTTCATTTTTAGCCACTTAAGCAATTAGTTGTTTATCGACTGCCTCTAAAATGGTTACTCCATTTTTCTTTCTGCAGTGGGGGTACGGCATGGGTGCTGGAAGACAGTCGTCAAGAGCAGATTGGAGGTTCAGACCTTATTAAGTCCCAGCATCCCTGAGCAAAACTTCATGTGCTTCATTGATTAGAGTTTACTCAGAAGGCAGAATAATAGCTTGATGAATCCCCATTAGATTGATCTCTTGTGCTTGTATTTGATTTCTTCCGGATAGCCGATTAATGTTGACCATGGACATGATCGAATCTTTCTGACTTCAATAATGTACATTATAATTATATGACCATTTGATCAGGTTGACTGTATTGTAGACTTGTAGTGTAGCTGTAAGCCCAGATGTCTTTTTGAACTAGTTGTGCGACATGAACAAAAGCTTCATGGATAAAGTATGACTGAGTTCTGAGAATTGATTGCTGTTAAATCCTACTAGCAGTATACATAATGGTCATACGGCTCTGTACTTATAAAGTCACTACATTGATACTAGTTTCTTGGCTTAAGCGAAGACAAGAAAAGAGACTAGAAAACATGGCAGGTGAAGCAGCATCTCATGGAACGAAACCGAGGGTACTTGGACTTTGATTTGGATTTCCGAGATCTTTTAGGGATTTGTTGCTCCTGCGTGCTAGACATTGAGCTTCTCATTTGCTGAGCTTTCATTTGTGCCGTTGTCAGTTTCGTCAAGATCTTGTCCATTGATGATGATCTCTTCCTCTCGAGTTTCATCTGAAGGAAATTGGTAGGGTAAAGGGGTCAGTTTCCTCTATGAGTTTCTAATGATCATAGGCCATATTTATACAAAGCTTGCATGTATAGTTCAGACGAAAATACGAACCTCGAGCTTTCGCATCTCAGCCTCGGCTTTTGCCTTCTGCAAGTTCTCCCATGCTGTGATTTTGGCTTCCTCTCTTTGGATCCTGCATTTCGAAAATGACACCACCATATCAACCTAAAGACTACTAAGCTTTTCGTCTGAACCACAAGATGAGGAGAGAAAGGAAGCAAGGGACTGAACCATACTTTGAGAAGTCTGAAACTGCCTCAGTGATATCCCAAGAACAACTGTTAGCAAGAGCCATGGCATTGTGATGGAATTCCGCGGGAGGTGGCAATCTTTTCTGGACTGTAGAAGCAGAAGAACGCTTTGTGGACCAACTTGTTACAGTAGCCTTCTTATCAACCTGCACTTCCCTGATCTCCATTTTACAAGGATGCTCTCTACTTCCTGAATCTAAAATAGCTAGTGGAGAAGACCTCCTTGGAGATGAGTGGTTGCTTTTGCTATCTGGACTCATTTGGGTTGCCATATCCCTTCTTGAAACAACACGACTAACAGTATTTTCTTCATTGATCATATCCTCTTCTACTCTCTCATCTGTGTCAACGAAATATACTGCCACTTTAACCGTCAGAGATAAAACCCTAGGAAAATGTAGACGAACCGAAACACAAATTACTCCAGACATAACTTTTAACCAGCTAATCTCCTGTGGGCATCAACTACATGTATAGATAGATCTTGGAAAGGCAACATCTAAGTTCAACAGATTATGAATCACACCACCGAAAAACGTAAAAGACTGCAGCTTTTTACTCGAGCTCGTTATTATGATCCATTCCCATGTTCCACATCTCAAATTACATCATTGCGGCTAAAGAAAAAAGGAGAAGGAAGAGGGGCAGTTTACCTCCTGGGGAGCTAGGCAGTGAAGAATCACTGACCAAATCTGACCAAACAGGGACACTAACTGACCTCGAGACATCGCCTCTCCCACCACCACCACCGACACCAACACCATGATTCCTTCCCCCACCAGCTCCATAATGCAAGCCGACACCATTAGGCATCAAGACCCCAGTGGAAAAGGGCGAATTGACCACGAAATTTCTCAGAGACCCAGCGTCGAGCACCTGGAGCGCAGGCGAACAGTTGGAGTAATGCACCACGCCAGGGGCCACAATCGGCCCACTCTTCGACTTGGGTCGCTTCTGAAACTGAGCCTGAGACTGAAGATGATGATGAGACTCGCTCCCGGCGCCGTGACCCATCACCGGGCTGCTGACCCACCGCTCGGCGTCCTCCCATTTGGACGGCACCGCCCTCCCGCTGTAAAACGGGGTCAGCCCAGTAATCCCCCGCTGCCGGGCGGCCGCCGACGAGGGATGCGGCACCCGCTCCGAGCACCACCCTTTGTTGCTGCTGTCCTGGTAATAGCTTCTCGCCGCCGCCTGGCCGGGGATTGGGAATGCGCCTAGGCTCTGAGAAGAAGCCAGATTCTTGTGCTTCCTCATGGTTTTCCCCTCTTGTTAAAAAGTTGCTATCTGGGTTTGCTGGTTGTTATCAATCCATGGATTCTGAGCTTGGATTGTGATGCTTTTAGGAGGAAGAGTGGTGAATATTACTAGATTTATGGGTTTAGTGGAGACAAGATCGGAGTTTTATATTGAGTGAGCTAGTAGCCATAGCTGCAGCTGCTGCTGCTGGTCTCTCTGTGACTGTGCTGTACTTTTGGGTTGCCGGGTTCGGTCGAGTTTCCCATTGGGTGGATTCGTAAAGGACAAAAGCTGCATCGGTGGCTGGTTTGATTGGTCTAAATCTCTCTCCTTTTGTTGTTTTCGTAATTTCTTTCTTTCTTCCCCACATTGAAAACCTTTTACCTTTTGGAATCACTTCATTTGGTTTATAAGATTCTCCCCAACCTCGTCATTAGTTACCATGATTGAGATTTATCCATACTTAATAAAGTATGCCTACTTTCCAAACAAGAAAAGTAAAGTAAATAATAATAAAGTAGGGTGAGGTTAAAACGTATTTTGTCCGTGTTGAGGGGGAAAAATCATATATATAACTGTTTGGATGGACAAAAAACTCAGGAATTGGAATTCCATTTCCAATTCTATTTCATTATTTCATGTTTGGAATGGTAAGAAGGTTGGGAAATGAATTCCATTTGACTAAAATATTGGAAATTAGAATTCCTATCAAAAGTGATAGGAATTGGGTTTATGGAGATGGAATTAGTGGGACCCATTCATATTTATTATTATTTTATAATTCCACTATCTTATTTCTCTCTTTCTCTCTCATCCATATTTCATTTTCCAAGATAAAAAAATCTACTAAATCATTAATGATTGTTAAAGAATACAATTCATTTCCATAGTTGTTGGAATTATGCCAAACACAAATATTGGAAATGGAATTCCATAAAAGTTAGAATTGGGAATGGAAATCCATTTCCATTTCTTATGGAATTGTATCCAAACAGGCTGTAAGAGCTCAAATTAGTATAGAATTTTATTGGTTTGAAACATGAACTACGATTGTTAAAACACAAAATAATATACCACTAGTTTATCCGATAAAATGCAAGGTACGATTTAACGATATATTATTGTTTTCCGGAAGTATGTGCGAGACAAATTAGTTTGTCCAAATTGAGACATAACCACCTAAATATTAATTGTCGATAAAGTTTGCGATCGTTATTAGTTTGGGTAGTTTTAAAAATCACGTACGATATCACTTGTATACTGATAGGGTATATTAGTAACCCCCAAGGCAAAGCTCTAGGAAATGGCATAAAGTAGGAAAGAAGACAAAAGAGCAAAAAAAAACAAGGATGGGAGACAAGAGACAAGGTCAGACACCTGACATCAGCAAGGATAAGGGGCAAGGGGACACCCTCTGTCAAAAAGTACCATGTACAGTGTCAGAAGGTCTGAGGCGCCCGACCACAGCATTTATGGCTTGGCAGGCGCCCAGACCACTACCTAACCCTCAAATGTGTATAAATAGGAGTTCTCTCCTCATAAATGGCAATCTATCTACTCTTATTCTAACTTCTCTCTACTTTCCCTCTCTATATACTTCTTCTCTTTTTCTGCTTCCGACGAGGCGGGGCGGCTACCCACTCAGAGTCATGGCTGACGCCCCAAACCCCTTGGACCCGAGTGACGCCCAGTCGCCCAGGCTCAAACATATACTAAACATAAAACGGTTCCAACATCAACATATCTGGAAAAAAAACTTTTGACCAGTGGACGTAAAAAGCGATGAACAACATGTATCTAAGATAAATTAGCTTGCACAACTTGAGATTTAACCGTACCTAGTTGCCTATTCAAAATCTTATGATTTTGCAGCCGTTGTTTAACTGAGTTAGCTTTGGAAACCATCTACGGTATCACATTTGTTTTTAAATATATACAACAATTCCAGCATTAACATATTCGGAAGAAACTTTGACGATCAATGAACAAGCGACGAGCAACATTAATCTAAGTGGTTGTGCGTGTGTTTATTAAAACGAAACTGCAGAGTTGGCGAAAACGATTAACGATGTGATTAATTAAATTAACACATTTTGGATCTCTTTTTGGGAATGGTAACAACCTTTCCTCTGAAGCTTTGTTCTCTGCTATATCTCTAATTAAGCATGATCTCTTGGAGAAAAACAAACGTGAAAGATGGCATCAATCTGGTGATGAGATGATGATTGTGAATTGGGATTGAAGTTGATATATAGTATCAAGAATAACATGCACGATGAGGAGTAGGTTTGTTAGTTCGTTTTTATTTGTTTTATTTTAACCTGAACTAAATCAATAAGAAGTTTAATGGTTCGTTTTTTGGTTTTAAAATCATTCAGATTAATAAGAAATCGATGATACTCTATTAAGTTATTACTCATCAATAACACGCGGTATCATCAACTCATGTACAATACACTTATTTCCTATTTTTATGCTTATTGCTATCTTTTTTCTCACTCCATTTGTCGACTTCCCAAATTATGGATTTGGTTTATTAATTTATCCAAACTAAATCAAGCCAAACCAAAACTGTTAAGGGACTTATCCGTTCTCAGTTAATCAATAACTGGTAAGGCGCTTAACGATTTCGGTTTTGATTTTTTTGGGAATTCACCTGATTTGATTTTTGGTTTGTTATACTTAATAACCGACAACCCTAATAAGGATTCTAGCGTTAACGAGTATACGAGTAGCATAATCATAATTGATTGGTTAAAAATTAATACATAGTATCGTGTCTCAAACTCACCGATTAATTCATGATTTATACAGCCAGAACCACCTCGTAATAAAAGTTAATTTTGGAATATTGTACGGTGAACAACTCCAACACATATATTTAATTCTCTTCTTGATGAATATTATGATTGCATTCACATTAGGGTTATAGGGTACATGCATATATAATAATAATCTCTGGATTTTAGTTCCAAGTTCCAAGCTAGAGGGGCTTCTCCTCCTCATCTCAACATCTCAACATACCACGTTCTTCCTCCATGTGATATATCCTCCGCCCCATTCGCCCGCATGCATGGGCGCCGGTGATAAATAAAATACTAAAACGATTTCCATTCCCATTTTCCATTTTTGTGTCTAATACTTGACTAAGTTGTTGTTAATTGTAGATAACATAACACCATCAATTGTAGAAGACACTCTCATAGATTCCACGATCATTACATTACATTACAAGCAATTATATGGAATCAAACACACGTTCTAGAGGGAGCAAAACTAATGGATCAAAAGGGTTTTGGCTTTTGAATCGTCACCTAAAGGGCAGTCATGTTACTAGTAGCTAGCTCGAGAAAATGAACATCCAAGAGGCGATTAAGTCGTTCATTAATCATCCACACTATATCAAAACTAGTGGATGGGATCGGATTCAAAACGAGTGATGAATTGAGCAAAATTCACCATTAGATATGTGGATATGCATTTGTGTGAAGATGAATAACTTCATTTTTTGAAGAAATTTCCAAATTCCAACACTCTTTTTTTTTGCTTGGAATAGTATCCACATTGTTGTTATGCACACATCCTCAACCTGAGTGTAAAAAGGGAACGCTTAAAATCATTGAACATGCAATTGAAAATGATACAAAATAATTGACGCTTGTGGTTTACCACACAAACAAAGATACAAAAAGTTTGAGAAGACAGGTCGTCAAGTGTGTATACTCAATGGTAAGAAGACGACTCTTAATTGTGAAACTCGTTGGGGTTCAACTTATTTGATGTTGGATATGAAAATGGAATACAAAGATGTGTTTTTTCCGTTCGGAAAATTGAAAGCCATAGCACAAAAATTTTCCTACTGATTAAGACTGAGAAATGACAAGCGAAATCGATTTACAGGAGGTTGAAGATATTGTATAGAGCTACTAATTTTTTCCCAGGCACTGAATCCGACTATAAACTTGTTATTCTCGAGTGGTATGTTTGTGGTATTAGAGTGAATCAAATCAATGTCCTTAGATATGTTTAGAAAAGTATGAGCTGTATTGGTTCGATGTGAACACTTTGATGAAAGTTGCAGCATGAGGTGCCATTATGCTACTTTTCGAAAAGTTATTTTGAGAAGAGTAAGAACGACATAAACCCTTGGATTATAAGTGGTCAATTGATAGTTGAGTACGAGGAGAAATGAAGAAACTTTTCCTATGGAATTTTACTCATATGCTTAAGCAAGAAAATGAAATGTTCGATATGAATGTGTATTTGGAAGACGATATAAAATGAACGTTCCTTATTTTGATGTTTTTTTTTTTGAAGTCCGATATGAAAAAATATATTATCCTGCATGAAATTGCTAGAGATACTCTTCAATCGATTTTCAGTTTTTTTTTTTTGTTGAGAAAATCGATTTTCAGTATTAGTGGAACGATTATTAATCCTTATCATAGTAGGCTTCACACCACATCCACATGTCGAAGCCTTAATATATGGGCCTGCTAATGCTTAACTCTTCAATCGTCAATAGCCCAACAAAACTAATGGACTTACTGCGGTTGCCGTTCTCTCTAAAGCCAGGTTTTTTTTGAGAGTGGGGTTGCAAATCTTTCAGTGTGGGTTTTGTTATTAATGGGGATGATGATGGTTTAGAGAAATCCGTCCCATTATCATCACTAATGAAAAGTAGGTGTAGTTAGGTTGTGGGTTAGCCTGTTAAAGCAAGTTTTTGACTAATCATTAAGTAAATTGACTAGCATTTGTAATAAATTGTTTAGACGAAATTAGTTAGCTGACATCTCTCGCTTTGTCTCCCATGGATGCTTCTAGTTTTTGTATCCAATTTTACATTACTTTTGTCAATGCTATCTGCGATTTTGATACAATTAAATTGTTTATAACCAACATCTCAACAACTAATGGACATTATACAACATAGTAATCAATAGTAGTGGTCCAAAAATAATCTTTATTTTCTATTTAGAAGTCGACAGTCAGTGTGTAGTGTTGTTGGAATATGATGATTATTTGATAGTCAACAAGAAACCAACTTTTTTCATTTTGAAAACGGAGTACCGCTGGTCATGCGGATGACCCGCAACCCACCGGAAGTCCCAAATAAATGTGATTAACAGATTTATCGATCTACAATCCACCCACATTAATTAACTACGGTTTGAATTTTTTGCGAGTGAAGTGGTATCAAACTTGAATTAACCACCCACGCTACACATCTATATATATCTGACTGCTTTTCTTATCCAATATATATTCACGTCGACTGTGCAGTTACTAGCTAGTATGAATGTGTTATCCTTGTCGACGCAAAGAAAAAACGGACA